CATGAGGTATTTAAGAGAAACTAAAGGAGGTAGAAATGAGAACAAAAATAGAATAAATAATCAACCTTTTTAATTTCCATCATATCATCCTTAAGTTTTACTGAAACAAATAACTCTTGGCGTTAACATCTTTTTAATGTGCTAACTGCTATGGAGTGAATTTAAATTATGCATAAGAGAACTAGTACTGCACTATATATATAATTTGTAAACAACGTACCCTTTTTATACACCAATAAAAAACAACCCTTAACTCCAAGAATTTTATAACTTGAAGCTAACATCAACTTATTAGGCATGAAATAAAACATTCTTAGAGTAGACACATGCTAAGTGTTGTACATTTCATAAATCGTAGGTACAGCATTGTTACATGAGGTATAAAGATAAAAAACTGAAAAAAGTATAATAAAAAAATTTCAAGATACATTCTCTTTTCTTTTTCTAGGTACATATTGCATGAATTTTTAACATATTGAATGTTCTTTATAAAATAATCACAACTTTATTTTCATTTAGTATAATATTATACAAACAGGTACTCTTTTCTTATAAGCAGCTTGTAGGTTGTTCTAAACCAGAAGCTCTTCCACCAGCATTAACACATGAAGCTTCAGCTGGATGATTTTTGTAACTTAGATTCACATTTTCAAGTGTTATTCCACTGCATGGATTCACTTTGCTACAATCAAATTTTACTCCAACTTCTGTAGCTGATGTTCCATGTATGTCTTGATACGTTATATCACTTATTTTTACGCCCGATCCCTAAAACAAAATGAGTAATATTAGATTAAGGTAACATGATCTAATTTTATCAGTAATCTTATTCGTCATTATACTAAGTTTAAATGTTTAATTATTACCTGATGAGGACAACTTTCATGATTAGGGCAGTAATTTTGGTCTATGATAATAGGATTTTGAACATCAGTCATAACTATATGTTGAAAGCGAACACCTCTTACAAAGCCATTGCTAGGCCTTGCCCAAGTTTTTACTCTTACACCATTTTCTGTTCCAGTGAAGGTAACACTCTTTACTGTTACATTTTGGACTCCAGGCTCTTGTAATTTCCAACCTAAGCTTCCAATGCTGCACCAATATCAATTAATTTGAATATAAGCAATCAAAAATCATTGTCAACAAACTTACTAATTAATTAAATAGGCATTTGATATTATGTTTCAAACCTGATTCCGTGGCCAGGGCCACAAGCAATGCCTTCGATCCATAAGTTGGAATTTCCAGGGCCAATTGAAATACAATCATCTCCAGTACCAATATGACAGTTCATAATACTGACTTCAGTCGATAATTGTACGTGAATTCCATCGGTGTTAGGGCTATTTCCTGGAGCTGAGACCTTCACTCCTTGTAGCTTTACGTTTTTGCATCCATCTACCAAAATGTGAAACATTTGGCTATTTTGTGCAGTTACTCCACTGATTATGATGTTGTTTGAGTTGTAAAAGGCCAGTGCCTGCATCAAAATTTAATGTCAAATTGAAACAAAGATGATTGTCTGATGAAACAATCATCAAACTCTCTAGTAAATTGCAAATTTCTAGGGGTTTTCCTCTCTTTTAGAACATTCTTAGGCCTAGTTTGTCCATAATTTTTTTTTTCAAAAATGTGTGTCCGTGAAATTTTGCAAGATTTTTCAAAAATTACAATTTTTATATCCAAATGCCTACTTAATAGCTTGAACTGGAATAAAGTATTCCCTCCGATTCAATTTTNCATAAGTTGGAATTTCCAGGGCCAATTGAAATACAATCATCTCCAGTACCAATATGACAGTTCATAATACTGACTTCAGTCGATAATTGTACGTGAATTCCATCGGTGTTAGGGCTATTTCCTGGAGCTGAGACCTTCACTCCTTGTAGCTTTACGTTTTTGCATCCATCTACCAAAATGTGAAACATTTGGCTATTTTGTGCAGTTACTCCACCGATTATGATGTTGTTTGAGTTGTAAAAGGCCAGTGCCTGCATCAAAATTTAATGTCAAATTGAAACAAAGATGATTGTCTGATGAAACAAATCATCAAACTCTCTAGTAAATTGCAAATTTCTAGGGGTTTTCCTCTCTTTTAGAACATTCTTAGGCCCAGTTTGTCCATAATTTTATTTTTCAAAAGCGTGTCCGTGAAATTTTGCAAGATTTTGAAAAAATTTCGAAAATGAGTTTTACAAATCAAAATTTTCAAAAAACTTTTCCCCACTCACAAAACTGCAACATTTTTTCAAGTGAAATGCATGTCCAAATATAGTTTCAAATTTCAAATGTCATTTTCAACTTAACTCTAAATATTACTATTTTTCAAAAATTATAATTTTTATATCCAAACGCCTACTTAATAGCTTGAACTGGAATAAAGTATTCCCTCCAATTCAATTTTGTTATAAATCCGACACAGATTTTTCAATTTTTTTAAAATAAAGTTTACAAATTCAGAAACTAAATAAAAGTAACATAAGTCACAATAATTAATAATTTAAATTATTCGAAATACCTTCAGAAAATCATGGTAAAAAAAAGTCATATAAAATGAAACAACAAAAGAGTAACTAAACATACCGTAGTGCCTTCAGGACAATTCTTGCCAGAGGTTTTGCAATCCCAAAGACCATCACCTTGTCCATCAAAGATTCCACCATAGATGGAAACT